CTATGTGCTGCACGCTGGAGCCACCACAGCGACCACAGACAGCCCTGAATTAGCCCACTCAAGTGTGAGGGAGGCTGTACCGCTTATCAATTATGTGCCCACTGACATAGAGGTATCATAAATGTCTAGTATGCTTTGTCTTCAAGGTATATTGCTTTGCTTTAATGAGGCAATGTGCATTGACAAACTGATGTGTGCACATCATCTTTGACTTGTTTTATAAGTGCATCGGGGTAAAGGAATGGCCGTTCCCAAGAGGTTGTACAATCACCTAATGGGCTTGAAAAGAGAGATCTGTTTCGTTCATGAGGCGGCCGTTGCCATTTTTTATACAGCCGACCTAGTCGGTAGAAATGCTACTGGCGCAGCCTCTAATCAGTCTAAAGGGGAGGCAAAGTCTCCCTTAAAGAAAGAAAAATATGCTGTGTTTTCAGGTAGGTGAAATTTTGCAATCTGACCAAAATTCATGGAAGTTGGTGGCTCCACTTTTGCCCATAATCAGCCCTTCAAGTCTTGCTTTTGCCTACTGGAGCTGGGTAATTTTATGCAAGAGTCCACAAACTAATTTTAAACAATAATAAAGAGGCAGCACTCCTACTTATTTTCTTGTCATATTGACTCCTCTATTTAGAGTGCTACCCCGCAGGGGCGCATGCGCAAGTAGGCGTTTGGTGTGTAGCGACAACACAGACCCGAGCTAACGGGGGAGTTTCTATGCCCCCCCCACGCCTAACCGTGCGTGGTTTTGCCGTGTCCGGGGAAAAGGGGATCCTAGGGGTTGAGCCGACGCCGAGTGATTTTTTAAAGCCCCCCGGCAGAGGCAACACACCCCTTTGGCCCCGGCTTCACGTAGCCGGCACCCCTGGGCTGACCCACCCGGGGGAAATCGGCAGTCGCCTTTTCCTATCTCTGTCTCCCTACATCTTCTTCTTTCTTACTTTTTTAGCTTTCCTGTCTACTTCTCTCTTCTGCTTACTTCCAATTTTCTCGGCGGCAAGGGTTAGCCCTGTGCAAATAGCCTACCTTGGCCTAGGCGCATTGGGGAATGTTGGCATGTTTGACGTTGCATTAACGATCGCCTGTGTAAACACACTAACTTGCTGAAAGGGTCTGCCGGCAGCCGCAAGTTAAAAAAGGAACTCAGAATGGCATGCGAGATCCATGAGGCGTTCTGTATAACACAATGCAGCAATGAGTGTGCTAGTACACAAACTATGGTTGTAAGCAGCATACATTTATTATTAAGGGGAGACGCTCCTCGAAAAAGCTTTTTTTTTATTTCTAGTAATAGAGACTTGAAAAGTTTGTTATTAGTATAGTTTTTCATGCAGATTTCAAATATGCAATCATTTTTTGTGTAGCTGCTATAATTATTGAGTTATGCCATAAACAATAGCAAAAAGTTACATTTTTTGCGGGCACTCTTTTATGTACTAAACTTTCAGTAAAAGCACCGTGTCTGATCTTATTTGACTCTTGGTAGATTGAAAAGTGCAAATATCTATATAGATATGTCACAGAAATATTGGAACCAAGAAAAAAAAATTGTATTGAATGAAAATTGTATTGAAACAATAAACTAATATTTTCATAACTAATGCTGGTAGGCATTGCAATTTAGAGTAGATATTTGCATTCTGCATGTGTTGAAGAATATGTGTGCCAAGTTTCGTTACTATACAATGAATATAAGTTTCTAAAAGGCTGCCCGGAAAACGTGAAACTGTCAGAAAAAATGAAAATGAGAAAAACAAGTTTGAAAGTTCGCATAGTTGGCATTTATTAGGAAATCATTCTTTTTGCATCAAATTGGGGCACAATGAAAAGTACCTTGCCTTGAATGCACTGCAAGTGTCTAGAAGTCCCCTGCACCATAGCTTGGTCCTTCACGGCTCTTGCGGTCAGTGTCCTCAACACGAGTTCTCTTCGCTGTGTTGCGACGGTGTGCCCTCGCTTCTGCAGTTTGCTTCAGGTTCATCTTCCTGATGCGCATGACGTCACAGTGGTCATCATGTGTGGCCAGATTTTGTGAGGGGAGAATTCCAATGCCTTCGAGCACTTCTTCAAAGCCCCTGTGGCCTTTGTTGTACCAGAGTACAGCAAGAGTGGTGGCTGTCTCCACAGTTGTTCTGGAGGCGAACTTTGTTTTTGGACATAGCAGCCATATCTTGCTGTTCAGCGATTCGGCTGCATTCTGTGTCTTGCCATGAAGGCACCGAATAAGGAGTTTCTTCTCTGTAAGGTGCTTGTAGATAGGCATAATTGCCAATCCTTGAGCTTTCGTCAACAGTGGGGTGTGGCCTGGTGCAGGCTCCCCCAGTGCTTCCGCACGCTTGTGCGTGCACCACGAATTTGGTCCTGCTGGGCAAAAGTTGTGGCTACTGGCACCATCACTGGAGCAGCAATGAAAATACGATGCCCATATGGCAGTGTACATATTTCGGACACTGTCCTTGTTGCTCGTGATGGCGATCTTGTAATATGTTTGTAGTTTTATTATTGTCGCATCTTTCAGTTTTTCGCCTCGTGGCAGTGGCGTTGCCAATTTCCGTAGAACAGTTCCCAAGCGCTTTGCAGCGTGGTTCGTGCACTCTTCTTTGTCAATGGGGGTGTCACAGTATACATTTGCCTCGCAGACTGCAGTGTAGGCCTTGCTGTCACCATCACTTAGGAAGCTGGTGAATCCCAGTGGAGTTTCATAAGACAAGGTCCTCTGCCATATATTGACAGCTGCCGCAGGTTCCATTGCATGGGATGAGCAGTCAGTGTTTTTTTGGCAAACTGGAAGATGAAAAGCTCGCCATATCTCTTCATCCTCCCCAAGGTCCCTGTGTATACTGCAAGCATGGCAGTAGTTCGAAAGAACTTCAAAATCGAGGCAGAGCCCCGTGTCCAGGGACACGACTGTGCCCACTCCATTGTGGCTTTTATGACCTCTTTTCTGCCAGGTGCCATCAAACATGACTGGCACATCTCTGCCGCCGACTGCGTCCTTCGTGATGTTTCGTGCCTGGTGCAAGTTTTTGCTCACTACCGTCATCGCCGCACCATGGAGCTTCTTGCAAATGCCGTTGAATGTCTTGTGATGCATCGGGCTCGGAAGACCGAGAATCGCACAAAATCGTGAAAGTTGGTCGTGGCCTGCGCCTATAGCGCGTGCTGCCAGAACTGCCTTCACGTTTACAGCAAAGCTGTCACGCGAGCTGCCGCTGTCAAAACGAGCGCTCGTTCCTTGGTCCCCGGCCGAAGCAGTACGTCTCGACGTGTGCGTGAACGAAAGTGCAGATTCAGGGCAATCAGAATTTTGACAGCACAGTTCGAGGAATGCCGAAAGTCCTTTGCGCTTTCCAGCTGCCTCTCGCACGCCGAGCTTCCGTTCGCGGCAGGTTGGGCGTTGCGCACCCACCACAAGTGCCGTCAGCGCATCGATTTCGCAAAGCAGCATGTTCGCAGTAGCAGCATCTACCGGTCTACGTTCACTCTCGAAGAATCCAATCTTCCTTTGGGATGCACTGACGAATTGCACGGCAGAGGCTATTTCACAACCACTGTCGCAGGGTTCGGTGACGGTGTTAGGCCTATCCGAAGTCGGAGCGTTGGTCGGGGGCGACATCGTCGTTCGCTGTCGCTTTGCGAAGCGTCCCACGCTGTTTCCCTCAATACTTGTGGCGAGTTCTGAACTTTCGATTATCTGAACTGCACTTCTTCGGGCTTGCCATGATGCAAAAATGCAGAGAAACGCAGAAAAACTCGATCGCGACGCCCGAGGCTTCGCTCTTTTGCCGGAGAGATAGGAGGGGGAGGAGCGTGGAGCGCACTGCCGTCCAATGGCGGCCTCGCGCTGTGTGCCGCGATATTCAAAACGCGTGACGTACGCGTTGTTTTTCTCGTTTTTTGTTTATTCTGCGTGAAGGCACGAGACTGGCTACTAGTGGATTATGAAGGATACGGCCTTCGCAGCATGCGTGCATGATTGCAAATGGCGGCCAACGCGTCGTTTTCGCGACAGGACGACGCGAACTTTCGCCGTTTTTCGCGCATTTATCGCGTCACCGCTGCCCACTTGGAAGCATTTTTTGATAATTTCTCGTGCGAATTTCAGCTTGATATTTTCAGAAGTAATAGATTATAGTCCAAGGATGCCAATACAGCCGGAAAAAAAAAAGCGAAAATTTTCCGGAAAACCGCGACTTTTCGACCCGCGTCTCCCCTTAACAGTGGGAATATTTTGCCATCTTTCAGGGCAAACATTGACACTTTTTTACACACCTATACCCTAATACATACACCTTCATTTTTGCTGTGCAGGACTTCTGGAAATTTCGAGTCCCAGAGGAGGCAAAGGAAGGAGGATGTTCGACAGGTGGCACGGCAGGAGACCCCGGAAACCCTTTTTAGAGACATGTGTCCGAGCCAGTTTGACACCATCGAGTTAGATCAGACTGATAACCCCGCCGATCTCTGTCCAGCGCCGGCGGTGTCAGTTGAGTGTACTCCGTCGCTACTGGAACCAGGAATGTCATACCTTGAAGCGATGCAGTCAAGTGAGTCGGCACCATCACCGCTGGGAACTGCGTCACCGCTTGGGTTGGCGGCAACGTCACTGGAAAGCCAGGGGTCCAGCCTTGCCAGATGTCTGTGATGCAGCCACCCAAAAAAAGACAAAAGAAAGACGACAATGGCAGTTTACTTGTAGAGCACCTTGGAAAACTTACAAACAGTCTAGAGGACCAGGACGACCATCATTATTTTGCATTGTCGCTCGTGAAATCAATGAGAAAAGTAAAAGAGGAAGACTACTTGCGCATGAAGATTCTGGAAGTGATCCAGCAATTTAACAGTAGCTGAAGTGTCGTGCTTCTTGTCCTTAGAGCTGACAAAGCGTGGGCATAGAGAATGAGGCATGTTGCAATACGAGGTATGGTGCAATATGAGTGGGCCAACAATACATGGCTAAACATGATTCAGGGTGTCTTTGCTATTAAAGGAGAAGCTTACCTTCAGCAAAATGGGTGCAGCCTCTGCTCTTCCAAGCGCTTCAGGGCCCCTTGTTTGGAGACTCCGGGCTGGTGCCACTGCCACGGTACCTCTCCAGCGCTACTGCAAAAGTAGGCCGAGAAAAGCGTCCTGGCATCCGCAGCATCTGCACTGAAGTTCCGTGACTGGGATCCCTGAAGCGGGAAATAGCAGGGGTCCACATGCCCCTGCCCCGACGTCTGCTGGATGCCCTGCCTCCACCGTCCTGGAACCACATTTCCGAACCTGTCCTCTTGGTCGAGTATCTGGTCCGATTCCTCATTTAGGACCGCTAAGAAATTATGCAGTACACATGCTGCCTTCACTACATAATCCACATTCTTGGGGAGAAGCTGAATGGTGCGGAGCAGTATGCGCCACCTGGCCGCTGTGATGCCGAAGGTGTTTTCAGCACACTTCCTGGTAAAATGAAATAATAGTACAAAACAGGTTTTAGAAGCAGCCACCTTTCAAAGCCGATTCATTAGACTATTTTTGAAACTGCAGCTACAAGAATGGCAACGTAAAATGGGCACAGTGCTCATAAGCTCGCGTTTTTTTAGAATAAAAGCCCTATGCTCATTAATTGTACATAAAGAAATCTTTTGCGCTTATTTCTCTACGGCCTTCTAGAGAAGCAACGTGAACAGCTAATTCAAATCAGCATTTATGTTTGTAATGTAAGGTTAATCACAAGTCGCACAAGCTGCTACGCATGCCCTATTTTTCTGAGCTGGGTAAAGGACACTTGTTATTGAGATGGGGTCATAAACATTGTGCACGGTGCACACCTCAATTTGACTTGTGCTTGCGAGATCGTTTTGTCATAATGATGGTTTGTACTAAGTGTGGTGAGCTTTTTATGTGCCCCTTCTGTTTTTAGATGTTTTTCCTCTGAACTCTTTTCGTTCAGCTGCTTTGTCTGCAAGTTAGAGCCACTGTTCTTGAGCTACGGGGTTGACTATATGCACTATATTGTGAAATTAGAGCCACTGTTTTTAAGCTATGTATTTTGTGTTCATTGTTTTTATTTTTCTTCATCGATGTCTTGCTGCGAAGTGTGCATTAAATGTTACTTCAAGTGCTTTCTGTGTTTGTATAAAATGGAGTATGGCAGGCTCAGCATACCCAAAGAAAGTGCCTGATATCATACCGTGCTCGGCTTAGTCTGTAATTGAACACTCTTCGTTCATCTTCAAGGAGTCTAGCAGGGAAAGGGCGCATAAAGTCACGCCGCAGCTGGAACGCTTCATCCCCGACGAAAGCGTACGGCGTCACCTTTGTGGTGCCTGGGAGCTGCCCCAGTGAGGGGATGTCAAGCTGCCCTTCGGTTAGGGCCTTCCCAAACTTCGTGTTCTTGAACACTCTGGCGGCTCTCTGCCCCAATATCGACCAGCACGAACTTCGAAGAGCTGTCGACCGTGGCCATCAGCACAATGGAGAAAGTGCCCTGCAGCAGTAGGCGTCAGACCAAACATTAGCACATGTAAAGTTGTATGTGTAGGTGGGACCTACAATAATAAGCGATTACAAAGAAAAAGTATGACAAAATTTACAAAATCACCTAAGCTGGCCACGCATTTATTTGTACCAGCTCATTGTGAAAGATTTCTGGCATGCACAGTGATAATTTAATTTAGCCGTAAGGGCTCTGAAAAACACCTCTGTTGAAATTAAATTTCAAAGTAAACATCAAATCAAGCTGTCATAAGTACCTGCCGCAGCACTGGAAGAATACTGCATACATGAAGTATTCTGGCAAAACGACTTAGACCACGGGGCTGTATTCCTTCGTTTTGGCAAACTGCGAGCTCAGTCCCCTTCTCTGTCTCCCTCTCTCCCCTGCTTTCTGGAGCCCATGTGCACCATTCAAAAGTGGTACATAAGAAAAAAAAGTATAGCATTGCAGGGCAAGGCTCTGGACGTTGTCCAAGCATTTTAAATTAGAAGGTAATTTAAGAAAGGGGTGAAGAATTTTAGGCAACTTCCTGCATTACAGAGTTTGGAAGCTTACTAAAATGAAAATAACTAAGACAACTTTTTATACCACTGCACTTAGCAACATTTCTTTTTTAATTGTCACAGTTACGCTACTGGCACCGCACCCCTACAAATGGGTGGTGCACATTGGCTGTCTATGTTGCCACCACACATTCTCCAGCAGACAAGGGCACACTACCCCTCCCGCATTAATGCTGTTCGTTTCAGTATACGTGCATAAATGGCCAGAGTGACTTACCTTGTAATTGAAGAAGGCACTTCCAGATTTCGGCGGGCGGGTGATGGCGACGTGCTTCCCGTCAACAGCCCCCAAACAGTTTGGGAACTGCCAACGCCGGGTGAAGTCGCCAGCAATCTTGGCCCAGTCAGCCTTGGTTGGTATCTGGAATAAATTGGAAACCAGGAACAAACTTGTAGGCCGAACAGACCTATTTTTAGCTAAATATCTTTGTGAGGTGGAATGTGAAAAAATGACATTCACTTTTCTCTTGTGCATGCTCTTTGGGCATGGATCCACGGCATGGTGAACCAAATTTTGTACAAGGTGTAAGCTTCCAATCATGCTGAAGGCATGGTGTCACTTTTGTTGCCCAGTTGTACACGGTCCACGCAGTGCATTTTACCACCCCATTTTTTATTTCGACAACACAAAGGTGTGATTACTGCATTTTGAAAACCAGAGTAATCAAATAGACATAGTTCACCAGGCTTTCAAAGCCCATAGGGATATATTGTATTTGCTAATCACAATTGCCTTAGGCACTGTTAATAATAAAAATTTTTTCATTTAAACAGTCTTCGAAGGAATTGTTTGTACTGCAGATATGAAGTGTACCATTTGCTGAAAGAAAATTTTATACAGGCTCTGACGTTACCCACCTTCATAAAGTGGTCCTTCAGACGAGCCCAAATGGCTCTACAGGTCACGTGAATGCTTCTCCGGGCAGTTTCAATGCCGACACGGTAGGCGAGGGCCACGTTGCAGATGTCCAGCCCTGAAGCCAGGTAACTGCAACACAGAAAAAGTAATTTCTCCTCCGATTCACAATACATGGCCAGCACAACTGCAACAAAAGTGTTTGATAACATGCAAACTCTGAACAGGATTGCCTCTTTAGGTAACAAGCAAATGGCAATATTGCTTTCTGACACGAAAGGGCATCTATATTAAAAAAGTTTGAAGACTTGGCCAATGTGAGAAAGCATGAATGATTGCAACGCCCATTTCGCCATTTCACAATGCAAAAGCCATTTGTATAAGCTGACGTATGCATCTATGATCTGTTCACTGACATGTTTATGTTCTTGCATCAGCATCAGAAGGCAACCTGTACCAACCTCAAGGTTATTGCAAGCCTTTCGCCTGGCTCCAGGGGCTCTCGTATGAAGTGCTGCTGTGTCAAGTCCGCAGCAACAAAGCCCAGCAACTTGTCGAACAGCGCGGGTGACATGTGGTAAAACTTAAAAAAAAAAAACTGCTGGTCGCCTTCCCGCATTCGACGCATCTGTAGGGAGAAAGAAAGTGTACTGTTGAAGATGGACACATCATTTTAGTTACTTGTACACCGGGTAAGCCAGCTCCAATGGGCTATGAAAAGGGTAGATAATTCATCATGCATTTACAAGACGCACAGGTACTATCTTTAAGGGAGCTAGCTCATGTCGCAGCTACAAAATCTGGTGAATAAAATGGGTCATCTAGAGCACTCTGGAATTTTATTTTAATTTATACCAAGCGCATTAAACGTTTTCTTAGCGCGGCACACATTGTTTAACCTCTTTTGCGCAAAAAGGAACACGCTAGCTGCGGGTTACAAGGTGGCGGAATGCTTCGCTCGCGCAAACAAAGCGCCGACAACAGACGAGAAGCGAGCGCTTACAACGTGTGCACCCCACTGTTGGTCATGACGCTATACAGCTTTCAGAAAACACAAACTGTTACAGATTGTGGGTTGAGGAACACGAACGTTTATTTACGCCAGGCCACACTCCGCCGGCAAACACCAACTGAGAACATGCGTATCAAAAACAACTCAGGACCACTTCAACGCCGCCAGGTGGAGCGGCCACACATCACATGTTCGTAGCTGTCTTTCCTGTTGCCGCCAAACCTAGCGGCCACAGTGACCCTACACAACACCCCTCCCCTCCAAGTTTGAACTCAGCAGTCAGCCAGGGCCAGTACGTAGTCTCTTAGATGGTGCGGGGTTCCCCGAGCACGCTGCGAGCGACGAAGGCACAGTGGTGGCACTAAAGGCTCGCCATTTGCCTCCACTGGGACAGTCAGTGGAACGGTTCCGCCCTCCTGTGGGGGCACACTGCTAACCACAGGAGTCGGCTGCTCCCCAGGTGCGTCTGGCTCCACAGGGGCCGAACTCGAGCCTTCAGGGGCCACCGGGACAGAACTCGAGCCTTCAGGGGTAGACGTTGACATCGGTCGTCTTTCAGGCTGCGGTCTTGGCAGTTCTGCACCCGCCGTTTGGGTAGGCCTGACCGTCCGGTGACGGAGTTGGTCCACATGCCTGCGCAGTACTCGACCATCAGGGGCCGTGACCTCATGAGATATTGGTCCGGTTGCACGGGAGATCACTGCTGGAATCCACAGAGGCCCCTGAGCATAGTTACGTGCGAAGACAGGGTCTTCAGGCTGAAACGTGCGTGGTTTGGACGGGGAATCTGCCAACCGTGTGGACTTCTCTGGGGCCCGATCAGGGTGCAGGCGGTTCAACATCGTTGACAACTTGCGGCTCATCAGGAGCTCGGCCGGGGATCGCCCCGTAGTCATGTGTGGGGTTACGTGCTGCTGCAGTGTGAAATCTGCCAGGCGCCGTGCCCAGTTCCCCTGGATGATGCGAGATAGGCCTTCCTTGGTAGTGCGTACCATCCTTTCTGCCTGGCCATTCGTAGATGGGTGGAATGGTGCCGAAGTTACCTGGCGGATCAGATTGCTGTCCAGGAACTCTCGAAACTCTGTGGACTTAAACTGAGCTCCGTTGTCTGAGACAATGGTGTCTGGGAGACCATGCGTGGCAAACAGTTTCTGTAATGCACTGATTACTGTCTGTGACGTCATAGAGGATGTTGGGATGACCTCCAGCCACTTTGAATACGAATCCACGACGATTAAGAAGGTCTGCCCTTGAAAGGGACCGGCAAAATCCATATGGAGGCGGGATCATGGGTTCCGAGACGCCTCCCAAGGGTGGACGGGTGCTCGAGGCATCTCTGGCCGCGTCTCCTGACAAGAGGAGCAGCATCGGACCCATTCTTCGATGGCAGCATCCATGCCTGGCCACCACACATAGCTGCGGGCAAGTGCCTTCATCCGGATAATACCAGGGTGCCCAGAATGCAGTGCTTCCAGCACCCGGAACCGCAGCTTTTGTGGAATCACCACACGGTCACTCCAAAGTAGGCAACCCTTGTGGGCAGTCAGTTCGTGCTGCCTTGATGTGAAGGCAGAAAACTCTGGGCCCATGCTGCCCTTGGCTACCCCTTCCAGACCCAGTTAAGAACACGTGAAAGGGTGCGATCTTTGGCAGAGTGGGTGGCAATGTCCGCTGCATGGAGGGGTGGTTCTGGCAGCGCATCCAGGAGCATGACAACCTCTGCGGGAGAGGGGTCATCGTGGCACTGGTGCTGTAAGGGCAGTCTGCTGAGGCCGTCCGCATGGCCCAAGTGCCTCCCAGCCCGGTGGAACAGCGTATGTTGGTATCCATTCAGGAAAATAGACCAGCGCAGCATCCGCGGAGACAGCATCTGTGGTGTCTGGCGGTCAGACGTGAACAACCCGAGCAGTGGCTTGTGGTCCGTCTGGATCTGAAAAGGCCGGCCAAACAGGTAGTCGTGAAACTTTTTTACGTCTGCAACCACGGCAAGTGCCTCATCGATCTGTGCATAGTTTCGCTCTGCACTCGACAGGGTCCTTGAATAAAAGGCGACCGGTGCTTCTGTGCCGCCGGGCAATCGGTGGCTCAACACAGCTCCTATTCCGTATGGGGACGCATCACAGGCAAGGATGAGAGGTTGCTTCTCATCATAATGCGTCAAGACTTGATTGGATGCCAAGAGTTCTTTCACGCTTTCAAACGCTCTTTGTTGTGTTTAACCCCACACAAAGGTGGCCTTCTTGTCCAAAAGTTGGTGTAGTGGTTCCACAACAGTGGCCTTGTGTGGCAAGAACGCATGATAGAAGTTCACCAGTCCCAGGAATGCCTGGAGTTCGGTCTTGTTTGACGGGCGAGGTGCACCAAAAATGGCCTGTGTTTTTTCTGGGGTCGGATGGATGCCCTCGGCGTCTATTCGAAACCCCAAGAACTCGACTTGGGCGACACCCAGCTGGCACTTCTCTCTTTTTACCTTCAGCCCAGCATCCTGGAAACGGCGAAGGACCTCGCGAAGGCGAGAGAGCAATTCTTGACCTGACGCCCCTGGAATTAGCACATCATCAAAATATGGAATTACACCTCGTATTCCACGTAGGAGGGTTTCCATTAGATTTTGAAAGATGCCAGGTGCGACACTGACACCAAACTGCAATCGGCGTACCCTGAACGCCCCACGATGTGTTACGATGGTCTGTGCTGCTGCAGACTCATTGGTGACAGGCAGCTGCTGGTAAGCCTGGGCCAAGTCGAGCTTTGCAAAAATGGTTCCGCCTGAGAGAGAAGCCAATACGTGGCTGACCACCGGCACCGGATATGCATGCTGCTGGAGGGCCTTGTTAATGGTACACTTGTAGTCTGCACAGATGCGGATGTCTCCATTTCCCTTCAATGGTGTGACAATAGGGGTTTCCCACTCCGCGCAGTCCACTGGCTCCAGAACACCCTGCTGTAGCAGCTTGTCAAGCTCGGCATCGATCTTTTGGCGCAGTGCAAAGGGCACCCTCCTTGCCTTTAGGCGGACTGGCACCACCTCCGGGTTCAAGGCCAACTTCACAGGTGGTCCCTTGTAGCACCCCAGTCCCCCGTCAAAGACAACAGCAAACTCCTCAAACAGCTTGTCAAATGCCGTGGCCAGTTCGTCCATGCGATGCACTCCGGTGACCTTAATTCCTAATGCTGGAAACCAGTCTAGTCCAAGGAGGCTTTGACGCTGCCCTTTGACAATGACAAGTTTCAGTGGGCCAGCAAAACCCCTGAATTTTACTGTAACTGTGGCCATCCCTTGCACTGCTATGCAGTTTCCCTGATAGTCCTTCATAACGACGTCGAGTTGCTTCAACTTCGGGATGCGCCCATTCGGGAAGATTTGCCTGGCCGTAGCCTCGGAGATGAGCGAAAACGTGGATCCCGAGTCCACCTTCATCTCGCATTCCACACCTTCGATTTCGACAGCAACGTGAATCTTCTTTGTCCCGGGCTGGGGCACATCGTGGATGGCGGTCTCCGTGAGGTTGTCGCAGTATGAGGTACTCGCACGCGGAGTGGTCCGCGAATTGTCCGTCCTGCCGTTTGTCTCAAAATTTGCACGGCGGTCCCGCTTCCGTTGAGACCGGCAGACCTTGGCTATGTGCCCTGTTTTTCCGCTACCTCGGCATTGGGCATCACGGAAACGACACAACCGGCGCTCGTGCGGCCCCCCACAACCGGCACAAGATCCGCCCCCCAGTCCTGCGTTCCTGCGTTGACTGGTGTCTGCACGTAACTGACGAACACATTCCTCGAGGCCGTCCTGGTCCTCTCCACAGTCGGCGACCGTTCCCTGGTGCACTGGCTCGGCACGCGGCGCGGTTGCGTTTAGTCGCAACTGGCTGGCCTCACGGTCGATGGCCTCAGCGGCGGTAGCTTCCTCGACGGCGCAGGCGAGCGACACTTCTTTTTTCGCCAAAATGCGCCGTTTAGCTTTATCGTTCCTCAGGCCAAAAACGAAACGGTCTCGGAGTGCCTTATCAAGGTCAACGAAGTTGCAGTGCTGTGCAGTCGTTCGCAGAGCCGCGAGGTATGCAGCGATGGACTCACCGGTTGCTTGCTCTCTGCGATGGAACTCATATCGCCGCGCCAATTCCGGTGGTTTCGGCGAAAGATGATTTCGAAGGGCAGCGATGATGTCCTCGTACGGCGTATCTTTCAGCTGGTCCGGCGCGACGAGGGCCATGGCCAACTGGAACGTCGCGGCCCCGCAACGGCTGAGAAACGTCGACCTTTTCTTTCCAGCGTCCGTAATGCCCTGCGCCTCCAGGAAGAATTCGAACCGCTGAGCATAGTCTTCCCACTCGTCCGGCTGTGACAAGTTGAATTGCTCGAGGGAGCCAATGCTGGAGGCCTCCCGTTGTCCGGGGTTCCGCCCGTCCTCCATTGCCGCGCTGGACGTCATGCCGACCTATCCCATCCTCGTCGCCAGTGTTACAGATTGTGTGTTGAGGAACACGAACGTTTATTTACGCCAGGCCACACTCCGCCGGCAAACACCAACTGAGAACATGCGTATCAAAAACAACTCAGGACCACTTCAACGCCGCCAGGTGGAGCGGCCACACATCACATGTTCGTAGCTGTCTTTCCTGTTGCCGCCAAACCTAGCGGCCACAGTCACCCTACACAACACAAACAAAAATTCCTGTTGTGACTAACCAACTCAGCTAACCATGCCTACAATAATAGGACTAAGCATTAGTGCACTGCGCCCCGCAGGGGCGCCTGCGTAAGTAGGCGTTTGGTGTGTAGCGACACCACGGACGCGAGCTAACGAGGGAGTTTCGGCTCCCTCCCACGCCTAGCCGTGCGTGGCTTTGCCGTGTCCGGGGAAAAGGGGATCCTGGGGGTTGAGCCAATGCTGGGTGATTGGACCTTTAAGGCCCCCCGGCAGAGGCAACACACCCCTTTGGCCCCGGCTTCACGTAGACGACACCCCTGGGCTGACCCACTCAGGGGAAATCGGCAGTCGCCTTTTCCTATCTCTCTCTTCCTACATCTTAGTCTTTTCTCGTCTTTAAATCTGTCCTGTCTTCTTCTCCCTTCCATTTACTTCCGATTTTTCCTGGCGGCAAGGGTTAACCTTGTGTAATTACTCAACCTTGAGTAGTTATATTTGGTTATAGTGGCAATGTACGGCTGGCGTCTGCAGCCTTATGCTATTAAGTGCTTCAGCGTCCCCTGGTTGGACTCCATGGTGGGTGGTCGCCATTGCTGCCGAAAAAAAGTACACTACTATGGGAACACCTGCATTTCCCTGTCTCCTAGATCGTCTTCCGCCTAAGAGGGGACGCACCGATGACATATCAATTTTCAGCCAACCCAGACAATGCTTTCCCAAATTCCATGTTGTGCACAGCGAAAACCCAACAAAACAAGCCGGAGCCATATCTCCATTTCTTGTTGCTAAATCTCTGACTGAAGTCTTTGGCCCAGGATACAAAGTTACAAAGATGGCTAGCGGAGACCTTCTCCTTGAGCTGCCTGAAAAACACCGCTGTGAAAAAATTGGCAGTCTCGTAGCATTTGGTAATATCCCAGTATCTGTTTCACCTCACAGATCAATGAACACCTCACGCGGAGTTGTTTCAGAAGCAGACCTTCTTGAAATGTCTGAACAGGAACTGCTTGAAGGGTGGAAAGAGCAAAATGTCACAGATGTGAAAAGAATCGTCATCAGACGAGACAACAAAGAAATACCTACCAAACATTTAATACTCACCTTCGCATCTAGCACACTACCTTCATCTATAGACACAGGTTACATCAAACTATCTGTCTGTCCCTACATTCCCAATCCAAGACGGTGTTATAAATGTCAACGATTTGGTCATGGCTCGCAGAACTGCCGGGGTCAGGAAACTTGTGCAAGATGTGGTAGCCACGGCCACCTATCTGATAACTGTGTTACTACGCCCCACTGCGTGAATTGTGACGGGGAACACGCCGCGTATTCGCGTTCGTGTCCTAACTGGAGGAAAGAAAAAGAAATCATCACTCTTAAAGTCAAAGAAAACATCACATTCAAAGAAGCAAGACGAAGAGTGTCGCCATTTTACGGCGCAACATATGCTGATGCGGCGCGTCAGGGGGCAACGCCGCACCAGCCCTCGCCACCCCTTCGGCCAGCGCAGAGCGAGCCATCGGCTGTGGCGCCTGCCCCCAAGGCGGCAGTAGTTCAGTCTACTCCGCCTTCAAGCAAATTGAGGTCGGAGACTCCAGGGTCCTCCGGTCTCAAGGCCTCCCCTCACCAGGCGAGGCCTAAAATCCGAACCACCAGCTCGCATGTGCGGGCATCCAGTGCCTCTGAGGAGGCAATGGATACAACGGTACCCTTGGTACCAAAAGAGCGGCGCGCCTCCTTGGAGCGTGCCAAGAAAAACAAAAAACCAATAACGGGGCCGGACGACCGTCCTGCCACCTGAATTAACGAGCTCACTCCAACACAGGATACTCTTTGTACACACAGCAGCATCTCTTTTGTTTATATATGCAGGCAGAAATATTACAGTGGAACATCCGAGGCCTTCTGCGAAACCTCGATGACTTACAAGAACTCCTCCATAAACACAATCCAAGAGTGCTGTGTGTACAAGAGACACACTTAAAACGAACTAACACACTTTTTACGTAACTACATAATCTTCCGAAAGGATAGAGATGATGCCATGCTACCATCCGGTGGTGTAGCGGTTATAGTAAGTCAAGGTATAGCATGCACACAATTACCCCTTCAAACTTCCCTCGAGGCGGTGGCTGTCCGAGCAGTTATTCTAAACAAACTTCTCACTGTCTGCTCTTTGTACATACCTCCGCACCACCGTCTCGAAAAACTTCAATTCCAGTCTTTAATAGACGAACTACCTGAACCTTATCTGGTCCTTGGGGACCTGAACGCACATAATGGTCTGTGGGGTGACTCTCGCTGTGATGCCCGAGGTCGCCTCATTGAACAATTCCTCATTTCATCGGGTGCTTGTCTGTTGAATAGGAAAGAGGCAACATACTATAACCTTGCCAACAAAACTTACTCTTCCATAGACCTCAGTATCGCATCTCCTTCACTTGTGCCATTACTTCAGTGGAAAGTCATAAATAATCCATATGGAAGTGACCATTTCCCTTTAGTTTTGAGTACACCAATAATAAATGAATGTCCTCCACATGTTCCCAAATGGCTGGTAAACAAAGCCAACTGGGAACAATTTCAAAAGCTTACTCGGCTAAATTGGACTGACATCTGCGGGTTAGGCATAGATGAAGCTGTGCAGTACTTCACAGCTTTTCTTACTGACGCAGCAACCAAGTGCATTCCACAAACATCTGGACTGCCCGGCAAGCGACATGTTCCGTGGTGGAACACTGAGTGTCAGAATGCGCGAAAGGAACAGAACAGGGCATGGAGGTTGCTGCGGAACTCGCCAACAGCGGAAAACCTTGCGAACTTTAAGAAAATAAAATCTCGAGGCAGGAGAACGCGTCGGCAGGCCAGAAAAGAAAGCTGGCACAAGTTTTTATCAGGGATAAATTCATATACACAAGAGGGTAAAGTCTGGAACATGGTTCGTAGGGTAGCAGGAAGACAAGTACACTCACTCCCACTCGTAAACACACAGGGTGATAGCCTGGAAGATCAAGCGAACTTCCTCGGTGCACACTACGAGCAGGTGTCTAGCTCGTCACACTACACTGAAGCTTTCCAAAGACACAAAGCAAAAATAGAAAAGCAGAAACTAGAATCCAAGTGCACAAATTACGAGGAATACAACCAACCTTTCAACTTAGCTGAGCTACAAACATCGCTAAACTCTTGCAATAATTCCGCTCCAGGCTACGACCGTGTCACATATGAAATGTTGAAAAACCTGCCGCTTGAAACGTGAAAAACTTTACTCTCCCTATACAATGATATCTGGCTTTCTGGCACCATACCTACTTCCTGGAAAGAAGCCATTGTGATCCCTATTTTGAAACAGGGCAAGGACCCTTCCTCTGTTTCAAGTTATAGGCCAATTGCACTAACCAGCTGCCTTTGTAAACTTTTTGAAAAAATGAATAACCGCCGACTTTTATATTTCCTTGAAACACACAATCTGCTTGACCAATACCAATGTGGGTTTCGAGAGGGTAGATCTACCACCGACCATCTGGTGCGTATCGAGGCACAGATCCGAGACGCTTTCGTCCACAAACAATACTTTCTTTCTGTGTTTCTCGATATCGAAAAGGCTTACGACACAACATGGCGTTTTGGCATATTAAGAGACTTGTCTCACCTGGGTGTGCGCGGTAGAATGCTTTCCATAATTGAGAGTTACTTGTCCAATCGGACATTCTGTGTCCGTCTGGGCAGTGTGCTCTCCTAAACATTTGTCCAGGAAACAGGCGTGCCACAAGGTGGCGTGCTTAGTTGCACACTTTTTATTATGAAAATGAATTCTTTGCACTTGTCCATTCCCCGCAATATGTTCTATTGTACATATGTCGACGACGTTCAGCTTGGCTTCAAGTCATGCAACTTGGCCATGTGTGAGCGGCAGGTTCAGCTGGGTTTAAATAAGGTCTCCAAATGGGCAGATGAAAACGGATTTCGACTTAACCCACAAAAAAGCACGTGTGTTTTGTTCTCTCGAAAGAGAGGCATGCACTCGGAACCTAACATTCGACTGAACGGGTAACGTCTGTCCGTCAAAGCCGAGCATAAATTTTTAGGCCTAATCTTGGACAACAAGTTGACATTCGTGCCGTACATCAAGTATTTAAAAACAAAATGTTTAAAAGCCATGAATGTTATAAAAGTGTTGTCACGTACTACTTAGGGTAGTGATAGGCAATGCCTCATGAATCTGTATCGAAGCCTCATTCGCACCCGCTTAGATTATGGGGCTATTGTCTATCAGTCTGCTACTCAAAGTGCCTTGAAGATGCTGGACCCCGTGCACCATTTGGGCATCCGCCTTTATACGGGTGCTTTTCGCACTAGCCCCGTAGAAAGCCTTTATGTTGAGTCAAATGAGTGGTCGCTTCATCTGCAGAGAACTTACATGTCCTTCGCTTATTTCCTTAAGGTAAAATCAGACAAGAAGCACCCCTCATACTCTACTATTTATGATTTGTCGAGCTCAATTCTGTTTCAAAACATGCCTTCGATGAGGCAGCCCTTCTCAGTTCGCCTGAAGTGTCTAGCTGAAGAAACAGCAGTGTCACTTGAGCACAGTTTAATGGCTCCTGCAGTATACCCGTCACCGTGGCAGTGGCAGATGATAGACTGCGATGTGTCTTTCCTAGAAGTTACAAAACATGCACCCATTGCCCTTATCCGAAACTACTTCCTGGAACTTCAACACAAATGCACACGTCCTGAGTTCTTTACAGATGCCTCTAAGTCTAATACCCCCGTCA